AGATGTGTATAATAGACAGATATATATATATACTGTATATGCCTTTATTTTATTTTTTCTCTTTATTTTATTTTATTATTTCTTTTGCAGTGACACTGGTATATGGCCAAATCGATTCTATTCTATTTTCATCATTTTTGTAGTGTCAGAATAATGCTAAAGTTTAATATAAACGCCCTAAAAAAATAATCGAATAGGCCAAATAAATTCGGTCTTAGGTTAGGATTGTGGGTGGCGCTTTTAAAGAAAGTGTAAAGAATTTTATTATATTAGACGAATTGTTACCCTTTCCAGCTGAAGCTAAATTGTACAATTTAGAATAGTTATTTAAATCACACCATGTCAATGACGTCACTACAATGGCTAACCGTCACTACAATGGCTAACCGACAGAGAGCTTTATTTATTGGCATCTGTCTGTTAACAACACGTAGGCCTACCAGAGACGAGACAAAAACACTGATTTCTAAACTAAATGGCGTATAATGTACGGTCAAAGGTATGGGTTTGTAACAATTACGAAGCTGATTCAACATCTACACGAGTTGAGCAAATAATATACAGAGGAAGAACGAGCAGCGAACCCAATCGTGTAATCAACCGAATTGCATGACAATTTTTATTGTTCTTACTGCTTGAGAGTGGGATTGTTTGTACGCCAATGTTTGTCTATTTTGGCCCTAATGGCCGCCCATAAGCAAGGACTTTTAAAACGTTTAGTGGGACTGAGATTCAATTAATTAAAAAGCACTGTGGGATAAAATCACGTCCCGGTCGCGATTTTTTTTTCCGTACGAAACATTTACATGAAACTCCACTCGGGCCGTCTCGACTGAATCGACTCGGGCCGAAAATCTCATTGCAGAAAAGGTCATCAACAGATAAACGTCTACAAAATGCAAAACAACTTCTGAGAGAACGTCGCTGTCTGATTTTTAAAAAATACATTGATGTTACGATGCTAATACTAATGGGTCGTTTAAAATGACATATAAATATTTGATTGAGCTGCACGAGTAATGGAGTAATGGATTTGAACTTGAGTTACATACTGTGACAATTTTTAATTTTTTTTTTAGTTAGATCTGGGTTTTGCATATTTACCTAGGCCTACTAAAACTAAAAATATACACTTTCAAGGGAAAGCACAAAGAGGAAGGAATAGCGCGTTTCTTTCAAATGAAACAGGGTGACAGTTATTTTAAAAGAGAAGAGCTGAGAATAGGCAGCTCTAAAACACTGGATGTCAAAGACCTGCCAAAATGGCAGAGCGGCACCAATGAATGTGATGAGGCCTAAGCCTAGTTATATGGTAAATACTATCTGCAGGTTCTTGATTACAAGGCTAGACCAAGTTAATTAATGCCGAAATGATTATTATTTATTATTATTATTATTATTATTCATTACTGTTAAAACCTACTTTAGGAACTTAGACAATGAAGAAATTAGAGAACATAGGCCTAGTAAATAGGTTCTTGATTACAAGGCTTAGGCCAAGGTAATAATGCTGAAATGATTATATTATTATTGTTATTATTATTATTATTATTGTTATTATTATTTAACATTAATTACATTACAAGGATAGTTTGGCCAAGTTCAATAACGCCGGAATGGTATTTCATTTATTATTATTTAATAATATTTCTCTTACGCACTCTATTTTTTATTTCATGTTTCAATTTCCCCCCTTTTTTTTTCAAAATTTCAATCAACTTCATGTGAAGCGTGACTGTTGGTGTCAGCCTAGGACCCCAGCCTAGGGACCTAGGCCTAGTTTGGGAGGGCCTATGATACGTAGGACTTAACACAGTCTGCTTTTGGCCTGTAGTTTATCTTCTTTCTGTCAGCCTTTGGTGTACCCATGGACCTATAGGTCCATGGTGTACCTATCTACACTTTATAAAGGAGGGGTAGGCCTACTAGCTGTTTGTTGTAGATATTATACTAACATTTAATAACATACAAGAAGGTCACAGTTAGTTACACACGTACATCCCATAAATCCGTAATATTTCATAGGCCTACCGTAGGTAAACATAGAAAGAACAATAAAAGTAAAACTCGAGCGTCACGACATTGCGAAGTGTCTGCTCTTGTTCCTCGTATCGAACTCGAGTCGAGTCAATCCGAGATGGCCCGAATAATGAAGTTTCATGCAAATGTTTCGTACGGGAAAAAAAATCGCGTCCCGGTCCCGCTCACGTTGGACCGGTCCTTGGCACTAACAGTGGATGAGGAGGGAAATAAGATAGTAATGATAGATATTTGCTAGACTGATTATTATAGACTTAGCCATGCGAGAGTCTTCTTTTATAGGAATGCGGCCGGGGCATGGCTGAAAAATTTCGTGTGCGGATAAGCCTATATTTGTTTGGGCTAATCAATATTTTACAGATGGCCAATGTGCTCTTTAAAAATCGAATATTGATTGACTTAATTCACAAAAACACGACCGAATAGTCGAAAAATAGAAGCATTTTCTTTTATAAGCCATTTTATATACAGTGGATTCAAAGGGAGGGGGAAGCAGTCCTTCCCACCCTGTCTCTTATACACATCTAGATGTGTATAAGAGACAGCTATTCAAAATTATTTTAAAAAATGGAGAAAAAAAAAATCATATTCAAATTTAAGTCTGAGAGTGCCATTTCCGGTCATCTAGAACATGGACGTATAAAAATAAAATTAGTTCTATAGGTGCAATATATAATAATTTTCTTACCTCAACCCATATACTGAATAAAAACTTAATGAATGAAATATAATTTCTGCCCTTTAGGCCAGAAAATATCTCAGCTATTTCTTTGTTGAAATTTGATTTTCATTTCTACTGTTTTTCATATTTATATTTTGGTGGTGATAAACACATTTAAAAATCATAGCGTTCTAACAAGTAAAACCGACAAATCATGACAATACCAAATAAGGCAATACATCCTGACACCCGGTTTTCCCATCCGACATTTCAACTTCCTGTTTCTACTTCCGGGTTTGATCAGATGAAAGAGGTGTGACAGCAACTTAACTTCGTTCACTCTTCTTTATCATCAGTTAGGTAGGATGTATTGTACTTTTTTGTATAATAACATATCTATATATATAGGCCTTATATGTGTATTTTGAACGTAACCTAAGTCGGCACCTATATAATAATTATAGTGCACTACAGTAGATACGTGTAAAACAATAGGTTATGTGAGTTGTTTTAGGCTATACTACTGTATTCGGTTGCAATAGCCGAGAGTAGCCTAGTAGTACGGTTGTTTGGGAGAAGCCCTCCCGCTGCAGTGTTGTGGTGGTGGTTTAAGAGTAAGATGGGCCTAGGCCTTGCTAGATCTGCTACTGGGCCTTTGTAAGTCAGCTATCGGATAATGCACATCTCGAGATGAAAATGCGAACACCTTGCTTTAAACTAGCAGAGGGAAGCTGTACGTTGTTGGAAGTTTTTCAAAATTCGATCGTACTTTATATTATTTTATTAGCCAGTCTCTAACTCTCTTGGGCTAGGCCTAGGTAGGACCTGCCAAAAAAGAAAGAAGTATATAAAATAAAACTAATAAGTTAACCTATCCTAGGCTGGGCCTAGGTAGGGCTCGCTAGTTTGAGAGGGAGATAAGATAGGCCTACAGTAGGTCTGCTGGGCGGGCCTAGGGCCTTGGTTGGTGAATAACTGTGATTATGAAAATAAAAGAGTAGGGCCTGTCAAGGCATAACACTAGGGGTAGGGCTCTAGGCTTTATAATAAGACTACCATTATGTCAGACCTACTGTAGATAGGTGTATCCTGTTCCTTTTTTCGAGTCACCAAGTAGGGCTCTGGTACTATTATGCTATTAGAGTGGAGTTGGATGGTGACCTCTTGAACATTTTGATTTTTGTTGAGTCAGTTTTATGTTTTACTTTATGTGAAGCGCATAGAAGCTTTTTGCATTACGCGCTATATAAATGTTACATTTATTATAAGACCTACTGTAGGCTAGGACTACATGTAGACTATAAAGAAATAACACCTGTCATAAAATCTGGGAAAACCTAAAAAATTAAATTATAGGCTGTGGATATTTTCTGACGATTTTACACAATTATGAGGTGTAGGTTGGTGGAGATGGTTTGACCCAAACCATGCTTACAGTATGGCATGTTGGAAGGAATATCCATGGTGTAAATTAAGGCTTTAAATTGTTCACACATATAAAATATTGTTATCTGATTATTCATCAATTTGCAGACTGTTTAGTAACTGAGAGCTAATAATTCAATAGCTGCTTAACAAACCATGGAGGAATTTGTTTTCCCTCCATGAACAAACTAAGCAATTTGTAAATTACAAATAGATCTCTCCTTGAAACTACTATTAACCTAAATCAGCAGCCCTATTGTAAGATCTACAGTATGATGTTAATGATTGATGTGGTCTCCCATTATATACACCATTGTTTTTATTAAATATTTTTATATAATAATTTTTTTAATGGGCAGTTTTTTACATTTACTGTATCCTTTTATGTTATCCAACTATTATCATTTGTAAATAAAATAAAATTTAAATTCATTTTCTCCAAGCCAGGAGTTTGTATGATAATATACAAATATTGACTGCTCATGTGGGGAGTGGTGAAATCTATTGCCCCAAGGTGATGTGGAGATCGTAGCCTATCTTCCCAGGGGAAGAAGGCCCGAGGGAAGATAGGCTACAGTCTCCACATCACTGAGGGGTAATAGATTTATTTGACCATTCCCCAAATCTAGATCTATTTGTTTTATATACCTCCTACATAGATTCTACAAGGCCTAAAAAAAGTACAGTACTTACTTTCTAGCTTGGTCTATAGGCCTATTAACTAGGGCAAATGTAAAAATATTTTATGATATAAAACAGTGTCTATACATAATTTTTTTTAACTAATAATTGTTCCATTAGAGAGATTTGATTTATAGATACAGCATTGAAATCAGAAAGTGTCTTGCAAGATGTCAAAACTGCTTGAACTTGCCCAGTGCCTGAAAGAATGCAGCACGAACCTAGAAGGCAAATGTGCCGGTGTAGAGGCTAGTGAACTGTCGTCTGAGTTTTTTAGTACAATTGAAGGTGTGATCGGAAAGCTGCAAGGAGTTGCCAGACTGGGAGGGGGCAGTAAGTTGAAATTTTCATTAAAAAATTTATCTCTCGTATGACATGCAGCGTTTCCTTAAAAACTTAAAACTCAGCAGTGGAGTACTAGGCTAGCGTTTAAAATGCAGTGCCGACCAATTCAATTTTATCTTTTTGATACCTGGATCGACATTTTTTTCCTTTCACATAAAAGTAATAAACACAATCACTAAATTAGTAGGGTTAGTCTTGTTTTGAGGTTTGATGATTTAAGTGGGTTTTTACAGTATTTGAAACCAAAACCTTTGAATTTCAAAGCAAGCTAAACTACGGATCCACTCCAATTTCACAAACAAATTTCTCTGACACAATCTTCTACTGTACTATTGAAGGTATACCATCTAATGTGAGATTTTGAAGAAACCAAATTAATTATGTATTATCAGTTATGTCTGAAACGAGTATACACTATCCGTGCTTGTTTTATCAAACAATGTCTGTTTTGTTTGACAAAAAAATTCTCGCCTATGATTTTCCTTTCAAATCAGTATACTGTATTATTTTAGTCTGTATAGTCTGTCGTATTAGAAGCCCTATAACATGCTATTGAGGTTAATTGGCTTGTTTGTCTTTTAGATACATACGTTTTTCTGGAAGCTTTTGATAAATTCATGGCTGGTGATTTAAATAATTATATGCAAAGCAGTTCTGCTCTTGGAGGTGAAATCCAAACCCATGTAAGTTTAAATCTGAAACTTTGTCCTCACTATCAAATTATTTGTGACAAATCACTGTGATATGCCCATATTTGGGTGTAATATGACATCATCGTGCCCATATATGGAGGTCATCACACAAAATTGTCAAGTAAATTTGAGTGTGAATAATTTATAATTTCATCAATTTTCCTGCACCAAAATATAAACCGCTGAAGAAAGAAGTATTTATTTTTATTGTATTTAAAAATATTTAAAACAAATATTTGTATCATATCTTTGAGAACAAGAAACATCTTTACGACCATGTAATTTCCTATGAAAAGGATGAAGTAAAGTTTATCTGTATCTGTAAGATGTAGACAAAACACAACATAACTGGGCTCTGAATGGGCTGAATTCCTTTCAAAAGAAGCAGAATGACTATAGATGTAGGTTGATGTGTTAGGCTTTCCTTTAATACCAATACAAGAGAACACAAATTATGTTTTTGAAATGGAACAAGCAATTTTATGAGCCTAAACTTGTTTATTTGGAGACCCAAAATACATTATAGTACTTTAAACAACATGTTTTTTTTTATTTTTTCACATTTGCTCTTTCTTTGCAATTGTTCTTTTTTGGCAACTCTTTATCTGTATGCTACATGCTGTGATGTAAAATCTAATACTCAACTTGTATATTTCTTGTTTTATAGTCTGAGCTAGTCAAAAAGTCATTCCAAGCACAGCGAGATTTCTTAAAGGTTGTTGCTGAGTGCAAAGCCCCCTCGCAGGATGTATTGGTCAAACTCATTCAGCCAACAAGCGAGGCCATTTCAGAGGTTATTGACTTCAAGGACAAAAATCGAGCCAGTAAAAAATTCAACTTTTTGTCAGCTGTGGCAGAAGGGATTGGGTCTCTTGGATGGGTAACAATTGTAAGTTAATGTAGAATATTATTGATATCTTCCAAATAGTAATATATCAGTAAACCAAATTTAACCTACTTGATATTGGTAGTATTAGTAATAGTAATAGTAGTAAAAGTAATAATAATATCAGAAATAATAGTGATATTAATAATAGTAATATTGGTTATAGTAGTAATTAATAATAATATCAGAAATAATAGTAATATTAATAATAGTAATATTGATTAGTAGTAATTACTTATAATATCGAAATAATAGTGATATTAATAATAGTAATATTGATTAGTAGTAAATAATAATAATAATATTAATTACTAGTGAGTGTGTGGCTAAATATTCTTGCATGGAAGTTGTGCTCTTTCTCAATTTCTTTCCTTTAATTTTAATTAAAACAATGTTTCTTCAGTTACAGCAATGTAGTAGTCCAGAGGATCCAGTAATTAGTCTTAACCCTCTGGATATCGGAATCTCTTATAGTGCAAACCCTTGAATACCGGATTCTTTTGCAGTGTAACAAGGTTTTTTGAGTATACGTCGTTCTGGTGGATTTTTGGGAACTTTCTGTAAATTATAAAGAAAAATGTTTCTAAAAACAAAGAAAGCTTATAGAATAAGCTTTCATTTGATGTATAATTTGTATTTTTGGGAAATTTTGTTCATAATATAATATGATATAATATATATATAATATAATAGAAATGACAGAAAAATGCTACATATAAATCGTCAGCAAAAACCGAAAAAAAAAATAAATT